GCAGGGGAGATATGAATAGAATGAGGGCAAGTGCAGGAGACTCCGGAGAGGCTGGATTTGAATCAGCGTGAACTCTGATTTCAAAAAGATAAATCATATCCCCCTGCTCTGCCTATTTGAGGAGTGTAAAGGCAGTAATACCCCACTGAGGAGAGTACACCTCGCTTGTATACTTTAGTGCAAAAATATCACTCCCCCGCTGAAAGCAACCAGAAATCCTTAGATAAGCGGTTGGACTTCAGGTCTGGGGCAGACCCGTTCCGAGGACAGTTTAGGATATTTTGTTGTGCCAGAAGCAAAGAACACTAAGAAGAACATGTCGGAAGGACCTAGGAGCCAAATGGAAGGGACTCCCACTAGCCATGTATGAGACAATTTCAGAATGGAGAAGAATTATAAGGAGTACTAAATTTTAATGCATCGAGTCAAAAAATGATCTATGAGTCAATAGGGATGATAAATATGGGGGAGGGGAGGAGGAAGGGGATTCTGTACAAAGAAGAATGTTGATTCACACACACAGAGAGACAGATGGAAAATTCACCCTTTTGTGAACACCGACTTCACAGGGGATTCAGGTGAGGATTGTCGAGGAGTGCGAAGACCACTGGGTGAAAAGCGCTAGCGGAAGCGAATTCACAGAACCTCAAATGTCACCGCACAGACTGGTTGATTTACAAAGGGAGAGGGGACCGTGTTTATGGGCAGGGGGACTGCGTGGTGCCCCTCTTATTTAAGTGACCAAATGCATCACCCGTGGGGTGTTTTTAATGAAAACTTTCTCATATCTTGGCTCGTCACATAAAATCAGGTTTAGCCTTGCTGGAACTGTGAACTTGTGTGATCTATTCGATTCTTTTTAAGTTAGTGCTAAATTTCTTAGCTGTTGGACGATGCCGTGGGTACGTAGGAGAATGTCCTTATCTTTAGTCATGAACCTTAAGAGTTTAGAGGTCAGATGTCATGATTTCTGCCATTTCCTTTTAAATAGTTAAAAACTATTGTATATATTTTTATAAATGAGATTTTCCTATTCTAGGTATCTCATATATATGCATATATATATTCATACATATATACATATATATACACACATATATATGAATAAGAAAATGTAGCCAAGTGTTAACAAATGTTGAATCTAGGTGAAGGGTTTACAGATCTTCTTTGTGCCATTGCTTCCATTTTTCTATAGCTTTGAAACATTTCAGAACGAAGTCCTGGGTATGCGTCATTGTACAGAGCATGCCCAAAAGAGACTCGTGCAGCGTATGGGCTCGGGAAGTGGCAGTTGCGTGACCATCGTTGACACTGTTTTGGCTGTTCAGGGTCTCCCATGCCCCACTTCGCGGTCTCGGCTGTGGCCTGGTGAAGGGTAGGGAAGTAACCACCACAGAAGTGAGCGGCGGTTTTGTCTGAGACTGCAGTGGAGAAGGGAAAAAAGAAGAACCTCCTCATCTCCTATCAACAGCGGCTTCTCAGATGCAGCAACGCGACTCAGCCGCCGTGCGCTTCTCCGGCCGGCGGTGGATTCCTCCGCGGGCCCTCCAAGTCGCTGGGGTGCTGAAACCACACACTCCGTGACTTCCCCCGAAGACAGTTTGCTGTGCAGATGGGAGCAGCACGCGTCCAGCCAGCTCCGCTCAAGAGAGCTCCTGAGGAAGTTTCAGCTAGGGGACCGGGGCCCTGCTCCAGCCTCAGCTTGTCCTGAGAAGAGCGAGCTCCCCGCAGACAGAAGCGGCGCCGCCCCTCATCGCAAAGAGTGGAACCCCTTCCTGGTGTCCCCAGGGCGCCTGCACCCCTGGAGGCCTTCCTTCAGCCCAGCGGCCTCGAGGGCTGGCGTTTTTAATATCACGATGTCCACACATCTCTGCGGCGTGGAAACCAATGTTTTATTAATGCTGCCTAATTAAAATTTAATTTCAAAGCACCGCTGTTCTCACGTCGTTTTGATAAAGGCTTTGTGACTTTTTTTTTTTTTCCTGGTGACGAGAAGGAGAACGGGAGAGGCTGAGGTATGGCTTCAAGATGGGACCTGGGGTCTGCTGCTGCACGTGTAGGGAATCCTCGAAGAGCAGCCCACGGCGGCCAGAGCGTCCCGAGGAAAAGCCAACACCCTGAGCTGCTTCCGGCGGGCCAGACCCGACCGTTCATCCTCGGAGTCCTGAATTTCCACGCTGGGCTTCAGCACGGGCTCCTCCCCGTCTAACAACCGAGGGCCACTAGTTGCTAAGCCAGCCTCCTTGCCCTGACTCCGCCCCTCACGGCAGGCACTGACTACACTGCTGTTCCTCCAACGGCTACGTCACACTTTCTACAACCAGCTGGAGCAGAGGGACGTCTAGAACTCTGGGGCGGGGAGGGGTTTCCTAGGGCAGGCGTGTCGTTTCTGGGTTGCTCGTGCTTGCAGATCCTTTGTCGATAAATATATTTTTCCCCTGTGATTGAGTGCAAGTGTGACAGCTACATTTACTGAAACCATATATAATCTGCTGGGCATTATTCCAATGTCTTTATATACCATCCCTTTCAATGAGCACAACCACCTCTAAGGCACTGGCGATATTTTTATCTCCATTATATAGATGCAGAACCCTCTCAAGGCAATGAGAGGGTGAGCAACTTGTCCCACGTACATCTGTCTCCGGAGTCCACCTTCTCAAACACCCCATCGTTCTACCTGCTGGAGGGAGGGGCTGCACATTTTGTTTTTCAAGGGAAAGGGAGGGACAGGGGGAAAAAAACCCATCAAAGTGAGAAAGAAGCATCGATGGGCTGCCTCCAGCACGTGCTGAGACCAGGCATCAAGCCAGCAGCCCTGGCATGTGCTCTGACTGGGAATTGAACCCTGGACCTTTTGGTGATGGGATGATGCTCCAACCAACTGAGCCACATTGGCCAGGGCAGGGGCTGCATATTTTTGAAACAATGGAGCCAGATCTGGGGAAAGGACTGGAAGGTTTATCAGAAGCCTATGTAACCCAGGGCCATAGCTCCTGGGCTACAGAATGAAGCCGAGACGATATGCCCAGCCCCTGCGGTGGAAGCTGGAGAGACATGGGTTCACAGGAGGCAGAGGCTGATCCATGGAGAGATGTACCCACAAGACTGAGGTTCGCTGTAAGCAGGAAGGTGGGGACCAAGGTGATGCAGGCTTTGTCCCTATGGCTGCTGCTGCCCAGAAGTACAGTCTGCAGGGGCTTCGAGGAGGAATTTCAGGGGGGTCGGGAAGGCTTTGTCATGAAGGAGGGCTGTTTACAACCTCCAGTTCTAGGTGATGGGACTTGGAGGAAAGGGGATGCAGGGGGCGGGGCGAGAAGAGGATGGCACTTTCCCCTCTACCTCCCTACCGGAGTTTGTATCTGCGGATGTGGGTCTGGGTCCCATCACGGGCCATCACCCGGAGGCCCTGGGACTTGCTTATACGACACAAGAGTGCTAGACAGGATTGTCCTGGCAAAAGTTCTGCCTTTAGGATCTCAGGAAGCTTAAGCCTGATGGGGGCATCGGCCCCGTGTGGCCAATGATGACAGTTTTCTGCCCAGATGCTTTCTGATCCCTTTATACCACTTTGGTGTCCCTCAGCCTTTGGCCGGCATGCAGAAAGCCAAGAGTCCCTACCCCAGCCCTAACCACTGGCTGGTGGCTCCGATCCTGGATGTGGAAGAAGAGCGATGCACAGACTGGAGCGTTCCCCTGCAGGCCCGGCTGCAGCTCGCCCCTCCTTCGCTGGACGTGGCCTGGAGATGCACCCTGGCCTCCTGCCCCTTTGCTGTCCTGCTTCGCCCCTCCCTTCCCAGTCTCTCCTGGGGAGACGTCCTTAATCCGTCACTTGCACACAAAGCTACACCTGAAAACGACATAATTTTATTAACCGATGTCACCGTAATGAATCAACAAAAAATAATTTTTTTTAAAAAGCTACATCTCAGAGTCTGATTCCAGGGCACTAACGAAAGCCATCCCACAAGGCCAGAGGCAGCCTGGCTGGAGGGAAACTCAAATGAGGCCACGGAGAGTGTTTCCTGGATAAGTCATAGCATGAGGAAGTTCTGTCCTCCCATAAATAAGATAAATACTGTGGCACAGTTAAAGGCAAACTGCAATGGCAGCCTGGAAAGGAACACCCACGTCAGCTTCAGGCAGTCAGGGAAAGCTTCCTGGAGGAAGGAGCATGTGAAGGAAGACTTGGAAGTTTAATAGAGCTTGTCCTGCAAACGTGGAGGGAGAGGTCGTTCCAAGCAGGAGAAATGGCAAGGCAAGGCCAGAGGGCTGGGGAAGCGAGGTGTTCTAGGCACAACACGCGGCTCTTGGTTCCTGGAGTCTCCGGTTAAGAGGCACGTTAGAAGGCAAGTTACAGGAAGTGGACTCATCAGAACCCTGTGGGTGTGGAGGGGGAGGGGTGGGAAGAGACGGAGGCATGGGAGCCGACTTCAGGTCTTTCTCTGGACTTACTGGATGCAGCTCATTGCGACGAGGCACACAGAGGGAGGTGTCAGCATAGAAGGGAAGGTCAGTTCATTTGGGGGGACTTTGGGTTAGATGCCTGCAGGACATCTAGCTGAGTATTGGGTTCTGGGTGCCGTCTGCGTGTGTGCTAACCTCTCTATGAGTATTTTGTGATTTCGATTCTTTGAGAATCCAGAACTGTCTCACTCCCAAACTCAACATGCTTAAACAATACGACACATCGTTTCTGTTTCAGGAGGCATCCGTGTGGTTAAACATTGAACATAGAAGGCAGTATAAAGTGAGAAGAGGGGTGGGGCTGTAGAAAAGTCGAACTTGAGTGCCTGACTGTGCAAGGGCTGCTGTGTGCATGGGAACAGCGCCCCCTGGAGTTGGGCAATGCGCGGTCTGCACCGAAGACCCTGGAAAAGACCCCAGGCAGAGAGGGAGATGACAGAAACAGGGAAATGAAAACCCAGTAACTGCCAGGCGGGGCCCTGTAGCAGGTCCAACATCCCCCGCTCCCAAGTAAGCGCTTTTTCCCGACTCACCATCCTCCTCTGTCTGCACCACCAGCTCCTCGCTCTCCATCCGGCCCTCAGGGTTGGACAGCAGGAGCCGCAGCCGGATGGTCATGAAGGGCCGCAGGCCCCGCAGGGTGTAGTGGGAGGAGGTCTGAATGACCTCCTCGGCCTCGTACTGCTGCTGGTTGAACACGTACTGGTACTGCACTGTGAGGTTGTAGCTGTGGCAGCGGGTCACCGTGTAGCCGAAGGGCTCCCACTGCAGGGTCAGCTGCCGGGCTCGGATGTCCACGATCTCCACGTTCTGCGGGCCGTGCACGGGGTCTGCAGACACAAGCATGAGACACAGAGGAGACGGTCAGGGCGGTGGGCTGGGTGTCCCGCAGAGCAGCGGGGTGCGGCTCTTCCAACCTGTCTCAGCTACTCAGCTGCTGCTCCGGGGTTTCTGCCACACGGCGCATAATTTAACATGTTTCTGTAAATCAAGACTCTTTTTTTCTTTTCTTTTTTTTTTACAGCTCTTATTTATTTATTTTTAGAGAGGGCGAAGGGAAGAAGAAAGAGAGAGAGAGAAACATCATTGTGTGGCTGCCTCTTTTGTGTCCTCTACTGGGGACCTGGCCCACAACCCAGGCATGTGCCCTGACTGGGAATCGAACCAGCGACCCCTTGCTTTGAAGGCCAGCACTCAATCCACTGAGCCACGCCAGCCAGGGTCAGACTCCTTTTTCTTACTTAAATGCATCTACAAGATACCATAAGTATATAGAAAGCGAAAACTTGAACAACCTGCCATAAGTGAATGTTAACCATAAAAATGAATGCAAAATTGTTAAATTCTTTTTCTTAAATCCTCACCCAAGGATATTTTTATTGATTTTTAGAAAGAGAGGATGGAGAGTGTGGGAGAGAGGGGGAGGGGGAAAAGCGCGAGAGAGAGAGAGAGAGAGAGAGAGAGAGAGACAGACAGACAGACATTTTACTGGTTGCCACCCACACACACCCTGACTGGGGATCAAACCCACAACCTTTTGGTGTATGGGGCAACAATCCAACCAAATGAGCCACCTGGCCAGGGAAAAACTGTTAAGTTCTTAAGGGTTCATCAGGGTACCATGGAAACCCATCTTGGGTAGCACCAGCAGCACACACAAGGCCTAGGGGATATGCTAGTTGAGAAGATTGCTAGGGCTCTGACCTGCCTTTCATCAGGCCACATCCTCTCCCCTCGGGAGATCGGCGAGCCACACAGAGGTGCACAGGCTGGAGACCCAGCGGCATCCTAAACACATGGCACCCAGTCTCTCCATGTGGTCATGGGGTCCAGTGACTACACCTTAGAATTTCCCCCTCTTTCATTCATAACACAAGTCACTAGTTCCTAGCCTTCAACCCTTCCTCCTCTCCTCTCCACTTTTTTCCCAAACAGGCCCGCCAGGGACATCGTCCCGAAAGCAGAGCTGATCTCACATTCTCACCACAAGGCGGTCTCCCTCCCCAAGGACCATGCCCCCAGGACCCCATACATGCCATTGGCTAGGTCTTGTTTTATTACGAACATTCTGTTTCTAATCTATACAAGTGAAATAAACTTTCTTTACAAAACAGCTAACAATGGAACGCACCGTATTTTGCCATGTATAAGGCACACCCGAGTTTCTGTGCGTATTTCACACATGATTATTATGCCCATTACAAGGCGTATCCTTATTTTTCCCTCAAAAATTTGGGCAAAATGTGTGCATTACACATGGCAAAACATCACTTTTTTTTCCAGTCCCCACATCCACATGTAAAGCTCATTCTATAAACTTTAGGCATTGGTTAGGATAGAAACTTAACTTCCCTTGTCATCGGCATCCCCATAAGTTCTCGTGTCAGGTTCTCTCACCTGCGAGTAGGTAAGCACTGGCTACAGATTAAATCGGTACATGATTTTCTATACTACCCATAGGACTTTGCCAACCTAGGTAATCTCTCTGGGTCCATTCTTTACTTCATTTGTGAAATGGTGATGATAACAGCAGCTGGCTTTATTCGGAGGAAAAGGGGGGCTTCGGCGAGTTGTTGTTTGCAGTGCAGGTAGAGCTGCATCTGGAACTTAATAAACGTGCTGTACATGGTAGTTTTTCTTTTGCAGGAATAGGAATAGGAATAAACATAATAAAGTTTCAAATGCTGTATCTCTTCTGGACATCCTTTAAGTGACAGTGCTGGGTAGCAGCATCCTAATGCAAAATGATGGATTCTGTCACGTCCCTGGCCCCCGGAAAGCTTGGGGGTGAGCCTGCCTGGGCACCAGCTCGGCAGTAAGAAGGGGGGCGGGGGCAGTAGGTCTTGATGCCCCTGAGTTCCCTTAAACCTCCTGCAACTTCTGCCAGAGCCTTACCAAAACCACTTCAAAGCACTCCTCTTGTGAGCAGGATGCCCAGAAACGTCAGGGAGCCTGGCCAGCCGGCTCAGAGGTGCCTGCGCACTGCTGCAGACAGTGGGCAGCCTGGCCCCAGACCAGCTGAGGAGTTCACGGTCACGCTCACAGCCCAATTATTCATGCTCACAGGTCCTCTGTGTAAAGGAGAGCCAGCGTGCCCAGAGCAAATGGGTGACTTTGAAACAGCGACACTGAATGAGGCACTGCTGAAGGTCCATTGTGCTGAGCCCACGTGGAACAGAAGGTGAAAAGCATGTTCCCCACAGCTGGGGGGGTCACGAGCTGGGGCGGCGGTGGCTGCTGCTTGGTCTGACAGCCCACAATGGCATGAGGACAAATGTGCAAGCACAGGGGCAGCGGGAAGCTGCCAGCCTGGGGAGTCCCAAGCATGACCCACCGGCCTTGCCCAGCTGGACCCTTTCTGTCCATGCAGATGCCCGGCTGTCCCGGTGGGGAGGCCGCCTGACCCTGCTCAGGGCCTCATTGCACACCCCTCTTCTGGGTGTGCCCTTGAAGCACATACACACACACACACACAACACCTCTGATGGCCAGCAGCCACAGCACTGGGGTCTGTCACCTGCATCATCCTGTGACCCTGTAAGGGAAGGACTGCCAACCCTGCTCTACAGATGAGTAAACTGAGGCCCAGAGAGGTCCAGGAACTTGCAGAGTACCAAGACTAGCAAGTGGCAGAGTGGGGTCTTGACCGTGTCTGTCCGACTCCACACCGAGCATGCAAACTCAGTTGTGTCTGACCAGAGGGGCCTGGGCAGACGGTGGGCAGGTGCTGTGTGCGCACCTGCGGAAGGGGATCCACACTCTCTGACCTCACCCCTCCCCGCTGCTCTGCTGCCTGCCTGTCCCCTCCTGGCAGTGTTGGGCAGGCCCTCCCCTGCTTTCAGTCCCCTTGCTTTGCTTCTGCTGTGAAGACCTCCCCGCTGGGCCCCTGGGCAGAGATCAGTGGCTACTGCTTTCTCCTATCGTCAACTCTTTCCTTCTGTGTTAATCGTTTTGCACTGTGACAGCTTTTTAGAAATTGCCCCGCCTGGTGGAAGGGGAGCCCTGTGAGAGCAGGGCAGTCCTTCCTCCCCCTGTAGCTACACCCAGCCCTGAGACCCGCCGAGGGGGACCTCAGCAACTCTCAGCCGAATGGGCATCCTGCTTTGTAAGACTCACCCTAAGTGTGGGGGAAGCGTCATGCTAGCCTCAGCCCAGAGGAAAGCCAAGCTCTGTGTGTGAACGAGGGGCTCAGAGCCACGCAGTAAGATTTGAAATTTGAGGGTCCCTTGCTTTAGTGTTTGCTCTGCACTGTAACACCACGAGGGATGGAGAACAGGAGAAGGACACAAACATAAGGCGTGTCACAGTCATCAGGACCTGGGGAGGCCTGGGTAGAAAGTCACAAGAAAGCCCAGAACTGTCAGGCAAAAGTGGCTTGACCTGCAGAAGCCTGGGCTCACTGCCATGGCGATGCAGGAACTTCATCACATTTAGTGTTAGGATGACCACTGGCCTGTCTTCCCACCTGGTCTCAGGCTCCTACAGAATTCTCCCCATAGCTCACCTGGGCAGGTGTGCACACAAACACCTTTCTGCTCCTCTGGAAGGAAGGACTAGGCAGGGGTGCCTTTTCAGTGAGGGCAAGAAATGCCAGCCTGCCACAGAGCGAGCAGACTCCCACCCAGAGCTGGAAGGTCGGAGCACAGGGAAAGTCCCTTGTTCCCTCCAAAGCACACGTGACTGTCATCACACAGGCCGAAGGGGCAGTGGAACCAGACAGAGCACAGCTTGAAGCCAGCCTCTGGCGCTCATGGCCTGTGTGACCTTGGGCAAGGGCGCTTCATCTCTGAGCCTCCACTCCCTCGTCTGAACAGTAAACATCATTGCCCTCATCTCGGAGCGCTGTTACTGAGCATGAGATGAACTGAGAGAGAGAGTCATCGCCTGCGCCCAACGGTGGGCATTCCTCTTAGAGACAATGGCCTTGCTTGGAGGAATGCCTGGAGACAAAGGAATTTGAAGGATTTCAATGCCTTTGAAGGAATTCCTGTGGTTTCTAGAAAGGGCTGGTGGAAGAAGATACCGCATGGGCACGCGGTGGCCAGAGGCAAAGGGGACTCAGAAAAGACACCCAGGGGTAATCAGCGGCCTGAGAGAGGATGCGGAGGGTTCTCCGCACTGTGGAAGTTAAGAGGTCATGTGCAAGAGGCAAGAAGGTCTTCGGTGGACCTGTGGGTTAGATGCCTGCAGCAGACAGTGCTCTGTAAGTTCAAGAACTCCCGCTCAGAAAGGGAAAGGTAGCGGCTGCGGACTGAGCAGTAACCCTGGGCGAGGCGCTCGCAGGCTGCAGACAGGCTCTGGCGCCGGGAATCTTGGCCGGTGATCTCCCAGGGCCGCACAGCCAGGGCCCCAGCGCTGGCCTCCCCTGGCACTTTGCACAGCTGCCCAGCCCACTCAGCATTTGCCACGCTTTCTAGGAACTGCTCGTTTATTTATTCATCGCTCCTCCGGGGTTGCAAGGGACCGCATTCTGTTTGTCCAGCAACCCCAGCACATGGCGCGGGGCCTGTCCAGGGGCTAGCTCACGTTGGCTAACGACGAGAGGAACAGATGGTGATCTGTTCTCGGGCACTGAGCTCAGGCCCCCTGACTCCACGGTCCCTGTTCTGTCCCCTCCAGCATGTCACCGAGTCTTCAGGGGGAATGTATCTATTTTTGCATTCAAGCAAGGGGACGTCCTGAAATCCTAGACAATGAAAAGTAGTTTTCAGAACCAGTGGGATGGAGGCATTCAAGCGTTCAACCTGAACCCCGCCCCCCCGAAAAAAAAAACCCAAAACTCAGTCGCCAAACTCAGCTTCTGCTCCAGTAACCAACTGCCTGCAGCAGA